GCTCGCATTTGCAAAGCAGATCTAAGCGTAGACTTTGCTGATGATTGGCCCGGGAACAGAGATGAAAGGTGAAGACAGGCTAGTATCACCATGCCGGTAGGGAGGCACAAGTGCAGCTCAAACATCTTTCTTTCCCCACCCCCCCCCCCCGCACCCCCAGCCCACCGTTGGGGAGGGAAAACACACACGGTCGTGCATTTGCTTGGTTCGTGTTAAGAGAATCTCTCTGATCGGCATGCTGTTTGTGACGTCCTCCAAAAGGCAAGGTTGCGTGCTGTTTCGCTGCGCAGGCGCAACGTTTTGGAAGGTAGCAGGCTTGCATCACCGTGCCATCGTGATTTGCGCTTCAGAGTGGACGTTTTGAGGTGCCTTACAAGCTTGGAATGTGCGCGCAAGCGTTCGCTCGAGTGTCATTCTCGTTGGCCCTGCTGCACACTTGGCTTGTTTTGGTGAGCTCAAATTAAGCTAGTCAAAATTGGTCGTACTCATTCTGGTGCCAGTGTCCCGTGCTAATTTTAGATATGTGTGGTAAATGGCAGGCGTTTTCAGGACGCTGTCATCAGTTGTGTGATGGTCAGGGTCCAGACAAAAAGGCGAACCAAGGAAAAATGGCCTCGCTTCTGCCAAAGAGACAGATCACCCCAAATAGAAATCTGAGACACTGCTGCCATTTCCCCAGTGTGCTTGAGCAATCCATGCTGGGAGATGAGCACCAACCGCCTTTTGGTCGCGCTGGAACTGAATCACTGAATGTTGCTGGCGAATCACTCCCTTCAGTGTGAGGGGCTCGTTGTCGGGGCTTATCCTTGGCTTAGGCAAAACCAGGGCTTTCTGGTCCCACCTCGTCACCGATGACGTCAGTGACCACGCACACCCCGTACTGCTGGAAGGTGTCGCGAATTTGCTGTGGGCCCGCTTTTGCGGGCACCAGAAGAGGAGCCAACTCCTCATCCGACATCACCGGGAAGTAGGCCTGCCACTTGGGCGTACCCTGAGCCCAAACCACAAAAAATGAATCCCGTCTTGGCCTTCGATTCAAGTTGGTGTTTCCAAGTTGAAAAGTTGGTTTTGTCCCAATGCCCTCGCCAATCAAAGCGAGCGACTGCTTTCCAACCGACCCTCATAATCGCGGGTCAGGTCCCATCCCAACTTTGAACTTTTCTGAAGGTACGTTACAAAAACGGAGGCCGACAGGAAGGTGGCTGAAGGCTGAGCGCGGCCTTGATTCGCAAAAGCTGATTCTGCCCGAAGCCATTCCGTGACTTGAGTGCTTTTCCCCAAAAGCTGCAAGATTCGGGGTCTCTGTCCAAATAAGCTCTAGAATGGTTCAGAGCAGCTTTCAGGGTTCCGAAGGGTTGCGCTTCTCTCTCTTTTCTTGCGGGCAGTGCTGCGTTGTTGAACCGGCCCAAATGCAAGCGAAGCTGCTGGCTTCTGAGCCAAGATGTGCCAGGATACTGCGTATATCAAATGCCTTTCTTGTTCCCCCAACAGCTGAAAGCTATGAAAGCTATGGGATCTTTGCTGAATTAAGCTAGAAGCGGTTGCTGGGGCTTCTGCATTCCAGAAGGTTCCATGAAGCCGCTGGATAGGGTTCTGGAGGCGTTCCCAAAGGGCTAGCATTTGAGTAAATCTCCGGGTGGACAACAAAGCACTGGCTGTAAAAGCATGCCGTCTGAAGCCCTTTCAACCAAATCTTATGGGTGATGGTTCCATACAGGGTGTGCACCTCCTTGAACAATGCCAAGTTCTTTCGCTCATCCATCAAGGGGAACCAAAAGTAGGTTGTTCAAAGAGTGGGTATTTAACATGTGCAAACATGAGCTTGGCCCAACCCCGGATAACAGGGTAACACAAACCGTTGATTCTGTGATGCTTATCTCTTCTGCTACTTGGTGCTTGCCTTCTAACCACCAAAGAAACTCAATTGAGCATCGCCCAAAACCATTCACTTTTGGTTCTACCAACATCTTTACAATGGTTTATGCAAACCCTACCCCAATCAAACCGGGTAGACCCTGTTGAAATCCTTTGGGCGCTCAACTGCCCAAAGGACTGGAACGACAAAGCTTCACCTTCCACGGCGCTTCCCCGCGCGCCGAACGCCTGCGATGGCTTGAGGCGCGGAGCCACTTTTGGCCCGGGCCGGCGCTGCCGCGCCTGAGGCTTAGCGAATGGGAGAAGTTGGCAGCGCGGGAAGCAACATAGATCAAATGGGCTTGTCTCTGAAAATAGGGCACCCCCCAAAATGATGGTTGTGCTTTTTGTTTCCATTTAAGACCATCCAAAGAGGGCTACCCTCTTGAAAAGATACACCCAAATTATATGGAGCCTTCAAACAGCTCAGTTCGAGGATTTCCATTTAGGGGGCACGTCCTTGTGCAGGTTTTCAGGGAGAGTAGATACTTCTACTGAAATTCTCTCCTTACCAACACACGCCACATCCCGCAACAGCCCATCATGCATTCTCCAAGCCAAGCTGTTAGAAGACCACGTGTTCTGT